CGGGGCCTGCCCCGCACCGGGTGTCGTTGCTGCTATGTCGCGATGTCGACCGCGCCGGGGGCGGATGGCTGATAGCGTCGCGCTCCCGCACCTAGGCGATTCCAGATCGGGGAGCGACGAGCGTCTTGGCGAAGACCCCTGCTCGATGGATCCAATGCGCCTGTTGAGTCATGCGGAAGACCCGATGGCGCAGTGGTAAGCGCGTCCATTTACTCAAGTTCGGGAAGGCTCCTGTTCGATTCAGGATCGGGTCGGCCGTGGATATCGATCTTTTGGACTGGCGGGGTCTGCCGATCGACCGTAGCACGCTGGCGGAATCGGGTTACTGGTATGCAGTGCACAGCCCCGCATGCGTGTTTGTCGAGAAGACTCGATGGCGCAGTGGCAAGCGCGTCCATCTCTATGAAGGAAGACTCCTGTTCGACTCAGGGTCGGGTCGTGCTGCGTGCTGTGGATCTTTTGCCGTCCCCTTGAAGTTGGCGTGCAGGGGTATTGGGATGGCCCGATGGCGCAGTGGCAAGCGCGTCCACTTCGATAGCGTCAGGAAGGCTCCTGTTCGATTCAGGATCGGGCCGGCTGTTTCGGCTTTTTGCGTGGTGGAGCGTCGGTGATGGCGCGGGCGGGCTCGTCGGGCCTGCTTCGAATCGGCGGGTCGCGGATCGTAGATGAGCAGGCCTGCTGTGGTTATAGTCTGCATTAGTGATGTGACCAGTCGTCGAACTACCTTTAGAGAATGTTACATTTTGATGAAGACCTGATGGTGCAGTGGCAAGCGCGTCCATCTCACGGGCCTTACCAGCCTGCTTTAACGGAAGAGTCCTGTTCGATTCAGGATCGGGTCGCTCAGTATTCCTTTTTGGCCTCTTAAACGCTCCTGCCCGTGCGCTGTGATTTTCGCGGAAGGCTCCCAATGTCCGATTCAGAATCGGACCGGCTGTTGCGCTGCGCGAGTCGTTGGTGACTCGGCGATGGCGCAGGCTCGTCGGGCCTGCTTCGATTCGGGATCGGATCGCGGATCGCAGATGAACGATGGCTTACAATGGTTATACGTATCTTTAGTTGAAAGCAGTTCTGCGATTAGTCGTTAATTTACACTTTAGAGAACGACAGACCCGATGGTGCAGTGGCAAGCGCGTCCATCTCCGGGGGCCTCACCAGCCCTCTATAACTGGAAGAGTCCTGTTCGATTCAGGATCGGGTCGCTCAGGCTTCCTTTTTGGGGTATGATCCATGCGCTCGCAGGGAGGCTAGAAGCTGAGCTATTACGGCGCGATTCGGACGTTCGGAATTGAAGCCCTTGTCTCGGACGGGCCCGCCCATTGTGAATGCGATGCTTGTTCGCATGCCATCTTGTCGTGCATCGCCACGCTGGAACGGGCAGAACAAAGGCGGCGCAGAACGGGGGGTGCCTGTCGGCGGCCGCCCTTTGTCCATTCCTTCCATATTGCGATGGCATTGTGCTTCCGATTGAATAGATAGTGCCGTCACCCCAGAGCTCCCGCCTACCCCCGCTCGCCGAATTGCAGAGCCGACGTCGACGCTGCCCTGCCGACGTCAGCCACAGCGTCGGGGCACAGCACCACGCCGCGGCCTGGCCGGGTGCGCGAGGCCGGGGTGCGGAGGAGGGGCAGATCATGCTCGCCTCGCACATCGGTTCAGCGATCAGAAATTACGTCCTGCTCGCGTGCCTCACGTCACCGTCATATAACACAAGCCCCACCTCCCTCCATCCCCCCCCACCTATTCCCCCACCATGTCCGCTGCACCGCAACTGGACGCGCCCCTCCCGACCCCCGCGACCGAGTGGGCCGACGGCACGCAGAAGGCGCTCGAGCCGCTCGCCCCCGTCCCGCCCGCCCCTGCGCTCCCGTCCGCGCTGCTCACCCCCGGCCCCGCCCTCCCCGGCGCCTACCCCTTCGAGAACCCGTCCATCTACCCGCAAGAAAACGGCAGCAAGCCGGAGAACAGCGCCGGCGCCAAGGCCGCGCTGCACGACACGGCGACGGCGTACATCGCGCCGGAGCGGCTCGACCAGGTCGAGCACCTCGTCGAGGGCGTCGGCAGCACCGCGGCCAAGTACGTCCCGGCCGGCGTCGCGAGCGCGGTGAGCAGCTACTGGTGTGAGTGGAAGCCGTCTAAAAGCCTCCCCCCTGTCGTCGCTGCGGTGGATAGGAAGGCGCAGCGCAGTATGGCGTGGCGCGCGGTCGGGTGGGCGATCGTGCTCGTGCTGTGGTTCCTCCGGAGCGGTGGGCGCGCAGTCCTTTCCCCCCTTTTTTCCTTCGCTCATTCGCTTCATTTTGGTTTTCGTTTCGGTTGCTGATTGCTATCTAGACGGCTCGCGCAAGCCCTCCCCGCCACCCACCGCAACCACAAACGCAAACACCAACGCAGGTAAGCCCCTCTCCCTGATCTTTTACCCCCCTCCCCTGTTCTACACGCATGTACCAACCAACCCTCCCCATTTCTCCCCCCCCCCCCCAGTCCCCTCTTCTTCAAAACCCCCTTCAAATTCTTCAAATTCTTCTCCAAACTCCAAGTCGAGCTGGCCGCGGCCAGGCTCGTACGGCCCCCTCGGGCTCGGGCGGCGCGCGACGGTCGGCAGCTGGAGCGGGAGCACCCCCGCCTCCTCCTCCCGCTCGCCGCCCACCGCCACCCCGCGCGTGCCCCGGCGACCGCCATTGGGCGCGCGCCGCTCGTCGCTCTCGTCGATGCTCGTCCTCTCCTCGCTCGTGCTCGCGCCCGCCGCCGCCACCGCATATACCCTCTCGGGCAGCGGCGGGAGCGGGGTGGGCGTGTTCGGCGGGCTCGCGGGCAGACTGAGGGGCTTGGGCTTCGGGGCGGCGCTGACGCTGTTTTATTCTGCGTTTGCGCTCACGGATGCGCGCGAGAATGACCATGATGAGGATGAGGAGGCTGATGGGCGTTCTGTTCCAGTGCCTGCTACTGGCGTCAAAGAGGAGAAAGAGAAGGAGGCGGTGGAAGCGAGCCGCGACTTGCTCGCTGGCGCACCGGAGCCCGTCGCGGCTGCCGCGCAGGCCACCCCCGCACCCGCACCCGCGCCCATCGAAGAACCCCAACCCACCCCCGCACCCGTCGAAGAACCCCAGCCAGCACCGAACGTGATGGAGGCCCCCGCCCCCGACAGCGGGCACGCCATCGCCGCAGCGGACCTCGTCGACCCCAGCACGCCCGCCCCGCCGGTCCTGCTCGCACCCGCACCTGCCGTCGAGCCCCAACCCGCGCCCGCACCGACGCTCGCGCCGGCGCCCGCACACGTGGACGAGGCGCAGACGCCGGTTGTGGAGGGGTACCACGTCGTCGGCCCGTCCGAGGCGCGCGAGAGCCGCGATGCTGCGCAAGAGGAGAAGGCGAACGGAGATGGAAAGGAGAAAGAGGGGGAGAAGGAGAAGGAGGGAGAGAAGGCGCTGGGGATGGCGGGCGTCGGCGCGGGCGTGGCTGCGTTCGCTGCGACTCAGGAGAAAGGGGGTGATGAGGTGAGCGTCTTTCTCTTTTCGTTTTCGGTTTCCGCCCCGCCGTGTTTCGTGTTTGTGTTGCGTGGTGGTGTTGCGTTTGATGGATGGACAGCGTCTAACGCATCTTCCAGCCCGCGACCAAAGCCGCGGTGGCGTCCCCGACGGTCGTGCTGACGGCACGCCGCTACGCCATGGGCAGCGCGCCGCCCGCGCCCGCGGAGCCCGCGCACGAGCCCAACACCACCGCCACGCACGCCGCCGCCCAGCAATCGGGCGACGACGCCACCGGCGCCAAAGGCGCGTGGGACGTGCCCGAGAACGCGAACTCGGCGAGCGCGCGCACGGGGAAGGGCGCGGGCGTGGAGAAGGCGCCCGCGTCGCCGGGGGAGGCGCAGCGGGCGCACGGCGGCGAGGCGGGGCGGGGGGATGGGGAAGAGTGTGAGAGCGGCGCTGACATGCTTGCGGATCTGCAGGGGCTTGCGCTGAAGGGCGGACACGCCGATGAGAAGACGCAGGAGGCGGAGAAGACGCCAGCACCCGCACCGGCTGCTGAGAAGACGCAAGAAGCGGAGAAAGCAGCTGAAGCACCCGCGGCGGAGAAGAAGGCGACGCCGCCGAGCACGCCGCGCAAGGCGGGCGACCCGGGGTACCACCCCGCGCTGCTGCACCCCATGACGCCGCCCGCCACCCCCGCCGCCACCTTCTCGACCCCCACGCCCGACGTGGGCAAGGGCCGCCCGACGTCGCCGTTCGGGAGCATCGGGAAGAAGAGCGGGCACCAGCGCGCGCCGAGCATGAACAGCACCGCGTCGGGGAAGAAGAAGGTCGGGTTCTTCGACAAGGTCCGCGGCGAGGCGAAGATCGTCATGGGGAAGATCGAGCATAAGAAGGAGAAGGTCGAGGCGGGGAAGCGCATCCTGCACGGCGAGGATTAGGGCTGTCTGTTTATTGTGGTTTTTTGTAGCACGATATCGTTCTGGCTTGTCTTATTTTGTATTCACCATTCACGCGAATTGTACTCTTGGTCGTAGATTCTTTCCGCGTCGACTCTCGTGGGTCGGAGCATGGTATATTACTTCGGGAGTTTACATGACGATGATGACGCGATGAACTGCGGGTGACTGGTGACTGCCTGCTGCATCGTCGAGGCTTTCATGGATCTGAGCATTGGTATATCACTTTGAGAGTTTACATGACGATGATCAAGAGATGAGCTCTAGGTGACTACCTAGAAACCCAGCGTCACTGCTCCTAGGCTGCCTGCGCAAAAATGTGTGCAAATGGTCAGCCTGATCCTGAGTCGAACAGGAACCTTCCTTGACGGGATCGAAGTGAACGTGTTTGCCACTTGTACTGAGCCATGGGGCCATCCCAGCGCTGCAAAAAGGACGTTTGCTGTGCCCGAGCGGTCTGAGCAAATCAACGACCCGGTCCTGAATCGAACAGGAGCCTTCCCTGACAAGATAAAGGGACGCGCTTGCCACTGCGCCACCGGGTCTTCGCTGTGCAAAAGATTGGACAACACCACGACCCGATCCTGAATCGAACAGGAGCCTTCCTCAAAGGATGTAAATGGATGCGCTTGCCACTGCGCCACCGGGTCCGCGCCAATCAACACATATGTGCAAAAGTTCTGACGATGCTGCGACCCGATCCCGGGTCGAACAGGAGCCTTCCCACACAAGCGTAAATGGACGCGCTTGCCACAGCGCCATCGGGTCTTCCCGGCACACGCGCTGTGCAGCTGGAGCATTGTAACACCTCGTAACACCTCGTAACACCCCTCTGGGTTTCCAGTGAAAGAGGATGCCTGAGCGGGATCTGCCGAATACCGTGCCGCGCAAATGATGCAAACATCCGGCCCGATCATGAATCGAACAGGTGCCTTCCGCAAAGATGGAGTACTATTTGGGGTGGACGCGTTTTCCGCTGCGCCATCGGGCCATCCTAATATAGGTGCAAAATGACCAGAAGAGGAGACGGCGCGCCACCAAAAGTTCTCGGCCACGACCCGATCCTGAATTGAACAAGAGCCTTCCTTCATGGAGATGGACGCGCTTGCCACTGCGCCATCGGGTCTCCTCAACATATATGCATTAACATGCTGTATATTGGAAACCCTGACCTTTGCTAATCTGCGATCACACGATGCGATCATGGGTCGAACAGAAGTTTCCGCGATGCAGAGGTATTTGCTACTGCGCATCGGGTCATTCCATTGCACAAAAGAGCAGGGTAATGTCGAAATCGATGCTGTGACCCGAGATCCCGATTGTAACATTGCAGCAATAATATTGGGTGCGGGGCACTGGGGAGCGCATTGATTGAGCTGCCCTGCTTTCTGACAGCACTGAGTCTGGAATCACATCGTGTTGAGTCGGAGAAGAGACACGGAAGGGCCGTCAAGAAGCGCGGGCATAATTTTGTCTTATCTCCCGCAAGACCGCTGGTATAATGCAGATCTGGCCAGAACAAATTGGCAGACTAGACTGAGCTGCATGATGGCATTCAGCGCGAAGAAACGGTCCAGCGGGATCCGCGGTTTCAGATGCTGCATGTGTTGGTAGGCTTTGTAGGTTGGGAACGCGAGGGGCGATCGAATGCCTATAATGTGGGAGTTTTTATGTCGAGACCTCTATCCGGGGAAGCGCAGTATTAGTCGCAAGCTAGAAAGGAACAAACAACAGCACTCACTGGCCATCCTTTGCTTCAGCGGCCAAAGCAGAAGCCGCTTCAAGTGCGGAGCAGCGAGAGCCCTGAATTTGACAGAGCGCATCAGTAGCGCATCTCGCTGGAAGGGGACACGCGTCAGTTCAGTCGCAATGGAGCAGCTAGCGGCATGAGTTATCGGGGGGAAGGCACATGCAGGTTGTGGCGCGAGGCACTGAGGGTGTGGCAATAGGTTGATATTGGACCCGTGAATTTCAAATGGGTCGAGCAAACAGAGTCCACGCGGAGGAAGAACGAGAGTTGTGGGCAGGTCTTGTGCTTGAGAAGGATGCAAAGTTTGCAACGAGAGCATGCCTAATGAATAGGGATGGGTGTTGTAGGCCCATCAAATGCCGGCCTGTTCCATCCTTTTTCAGTTGCGGGCTGGCTCACAAATGAGGTTGTCAAGATGTTGAAGATAGAGGTATTCCTGTGGATTGCTCAAGTAGGTGTCCAAGTAACAAGACAAGATGAAGCAGAAAGCCAGTACGACTTCTAAAGTGGGGAATAGACTCGGTCTTCAGTCAAGCCTGAGGGAGCAGAAGACACAGACACTCCCGGAGCCCTCCAGCATCTCGGATGATCTCGTGGGGCATGACGTCGGCAAGAAAGCAGTGGGGCTGATCAGGCAAGGCGAACGTTCGAACTGCGCTCCTACGATATTGCCGATAGGCGTCAATATTGATGACAATGCGCAGAGTCGGCCAGAATTGGAAGACCGGCGTGACGCTGGTCATGAGTAAGTCCAGAGCGACATCGATTTCTGACGACATTGTGGCTCGGGGCGGTCGGCACAGGGATGTCTCGTGAGCTCACGGCCGCGAGGTCGTATATCGATTAGAAGATATCAGCTGGCTGCTGCCGATCGTCACTCCGGTCCGCAAAGTCGGGTACATCTGTCAATAAAGAGAGTCCTTCGCAAGGACAACATGTAAGTAAGAGTCGTTATCAAGTCATGATCTCACCGTTTTTGCAGAGGATGTCCCGCCAATCAGGAGCAGGCGCCGACCGGAACGCCACCAAGTCACTGATCCGTACTCGCGACTTTTGGCGCTTTGTACAGCAATACTTGTCATCCGCCTTTTAACAGTTTTCAACAACATTTCAAGAAGTCTCTCCGCCAGTGCTAGGACTTGCTGTGCGAAGGAGTATCGATGAGCCAGCGAATAGAGATCCCGCATTCGGCTACTCGGAGCTTGGAATCGCCCTGTCGATATCTCGTATAAAGCCTGCCCATCGAGATTGAAATGAAGGCACTGTCCATTCTTGCTTTAATTTACCCATACACTCTGCGTCCTCATTTCACATCCTAATTTAGCGTGATGACACTGAACAGATGCTCATTTATCGACAGCAGGTGGGCCAAGAAAGTAGCAGAGCTCCGACAGCAGGTGGGCAAAGAGCAAGGTAACGAAGAGATGGCATGAGGGTCAAACCGAACCAAGAAAGCGGAGGGCTGCTCACAAGGACACAGCAGACTCAAGATGGATGCGGGCCCTCCTGACTGAAGAGGTTTGCGATTTGTGCTTGCAGATCGCAAATTTCTTCAGTCTATGTATGCGCAAGATATGCGATCTTTATACTGCTCACCGAGACATTAATCGACAGACGCGTCAGCGACCGGATACGCAGGATGTTGCCGCCCGCGCTCTACCACAGCCATGATACCGTTCTGCCTGGCATGAAACTCTGGCGAGGTCGCTGAGGTACTTCTTTCTCTCCCGAATCGATCCTTGCGTGGCAAGGATCGGTTTTGCGGTCTCACTGTAGAGGTCCCAATGTGCTCCGAGCTGCAACCTGCCGCAGCACGGCCCGCGCTACCATAGAGTCGACCCAATTCGACGAAGGTGCCGCGAGACCGTGACCAGCGGCACAGTCAACAAGCGCGTCTTGCTCCCGCAAGCGGTTCAGTTCCTCCTCTGGGTTAGGGTTAAGACACTAACTTGGCAGTACCTGATCTGTTCAATGGCGTTATAAGAAGTAGGGGGCCACGAATAAAGCGCGCTGTGCCTTACCGCCCACTGGCCAAGTTGCCAATATCGGAAAGCCGGTCCAGGGGACTGCGACCGCCACTAGGAGACCGTGCAAGCACAGCGCGGATAACGTTCCTGGTGATGTTGCGCCGGCAAAAGGGCTGAATGAACAAGAAAGTCGTGAAGGTATGTCAAAGCTGACGGAAGAAGTCAGTGAGTGGGCGCTAAATGGTAAACGGTAAAATAGCCGTTGACAGAACGCTTATGATAATCGTGCCGATACATATACACTGGTCTTCAGCACTCACCGCCGTCGTCTTGCCGGTCTCTCACTGGCACTGCCAGTGACTATCGGCGCTCATGGGCCCATTTGGCGGAGCGCGTGTTGGTCATCAAGAAAAGAAATATATTTCGTACGGTACAAGATAAATCTGCTATAACTCCTATCACTGTGCAGATACATTGCTATATGCACCCTTGCTGATGCTGCTACGCCGACGTGGAGCACTTTTGTTGCGCCGCTGGCAACATAGCCAACCTAACCAGGAAGGCACCTCGTGTTTTACAGCCAGATATGCCAGATATAGCCCCGCTATGGCCAGTAGAATGCCGATAGCACTGGCACCGATCTCTATCTCGTCGGCTTCGCTAAGACCACTACCCGAGTTCGCCCCAGCTGTAGAACTCGGTTTGGCAGAAGAAGACGTAGATATTGTTTGCGTGGAGGATGTTGTCGTGCTGATTGTGGTTAGAATCCAGATAGAGTTATCTCGTGCACTGTCAAGGTCGTAGCATAACACCTGATCCTCGATAAGTTCACACAAAGCATCCGCACAGGACTTGACTTACAGGGTTGTTATCATTTGAATAGCCATCGTCAACATTCCAGGCAAGACCAAAGGTCGAGTCAGGCGAGAATCTGAAATGAATCATTCCTGAGCTTGTGCCCAATACCGAATCGGGTTGGTCACTCACAAGTACGCGCCTGCACTCTCTTCTTCTACATACCAAGTGAATGGGATGTGACTTGCATAGACTATCCAATTACTGGGGCTCAAAAACGATATAAAGTTCGAGTGCTGAACGTTTTCGACTGTGAATGTTCCAGCAACTGGATCGCCAACGATCTGCCACTGTGAGCTAATTTAGACGCAAGGAGTGGGGCGACGGGTTATCGAGAATCAACTACCTGTTGCTCTGTATCGTTGGCGCTATATTTCCAAGTCGTCAGCGTCGTGCCTTCGTTTCCGTCGGTGAGCGTGAGACATGTCCTCTGGGTCTGCGCACAAATGTAATATGTGCCGTTGGCAAGAGAGACAGCGCGAGTGCTGAATGTGGGCATGGATAGAATCAGTAGACAAGGTCCTTAACATAATCTTTATCGATCACATTGCTGTATTTCCACGCCGATGCCTCAAGGCCGAGGCACACATCTTCTGGAACAGAACGGTGTCTGTGCCGCTCTATGCGCCACAGGGATAGACGCCCATTTGACTTTCACTGGTCCCTATCTTTGTAGTATCTACCCGATTGTTGTAATCAGATGTTTAGCCTAGAGTTTCCGTAGGACCACACGCACCACATGCACAGCAGCTTGAGTCGAAGGCAGCAGTGTTGATAATGACGAGCGTGTTCTGGCGTTATCCCAGCAACTATGGGCGCTAGTTGGCTGGCGCCAGATCGGCCTCCGCCCGTGATCTCCGCGTCTGAAGCAGAAAGTGCGATCCAGTACAGCGAAACAATTCGTACGGATGAGGAATGTGACATATGCCGGCGCTCGCTGTGAAAGTTCCAGATCAGTAGATGACCAAACAGCAAACTCGCCATGAAAGAGGCGTAACATACACGAAGACATTTGCTGTTAGGCCATTGGTCATCCCGGCGCGTAAAAAAAAGGTAGTCTTCAATCCAGTCTGCGCCGAGCTGGCAGAAATCTACTCATGCGCACTCCATGACACATACCCCCGGGACCCTTGCCAGGCGCAGCCTGCAGACCAGTATGACCACAGAATGCCAGTCGCCCTGCACTGCAGCGCACGCTTTCCGCAGGTGTCATGGCACGTTATATCGCCGATTACCTAGTGCTGGCATATCCCCATGGACAAATCGACCAAGCTGTCGATGGCGGCACTGGAAGGCTGCAGTGGCCAACTGCACCTCGCTAGAGCACACAAACGCTACGAGGGCCCGGTGCACCGGTGAGCTAGGGACGAGTGAGGTATGCTCCAATCGCCAGTCTGTCCGTGCAAGGAGTAAACTGAA